ATGTCCTGATGTCGCCCTTTCCCTTCATCCGCACCAAACCTCGCTCCTCGATGATGTACTGCCCCGTTGGCTCCAGGTAGTCACGGCACTCCGGACTCAGGTGGATCTTCAGCGCCTCACCTTTGAATTAAAACAAAAATTATGTCAGCATCAGAAAACCTAATCATCATCATCATCACTTACCATTACTCTCCATGCGCGATGCCGTATTGACGGTATCACCGAAAAGACAGTATCTAGGCATTTTCAGACCAACTACACCCGCAACGACGGGCCCTAATCAAAGAACAGATGTCTTTAGTTAGAAAAGTTCTCTACTTCTAATAAATTAATGAAAATGAACAGTACTTTCTTTCAGTGCTTTCCGCAATGTAAATACGCGCACACAAAAAGTAAAGTAGAAACAGTGCACTTCACTACAACTAGCTATCAATTTGGCTAAGTGTGCGTGTAGAGTAGAAGAGATTAATGTATTGCCGTGTTTCCCACTCTCGCTGCTGCTGTTGCTAACATAATAACGACACACTTCTATAGACTAAATTGAGTCAATGTACTATTTTTGTTCCCTTCTCTAGTTCAAGTTCATCCTCCGTACCAAAAGTGGAAATCAATTGAGAGCAACTGAGAAAACAAATGGGAAAAAATGTCCCGATTCTAAATAAACACCTTCTGCTTCACTTTTGGCACTCACCTGTGTGCACGCCAATTCGAAGCTGCAGCACCTCATCGGGTCGGTGGTGAATCCTAAAGGACTTGACAGCGTCGAGCATCTCCAAGGCCATCGAGGCAATCTCCGTACAGTGCTTCTTTCCATTGCGTATCGGCAGACCAGAGACCACCTGTGCGTGACAGTGATTTAGTTACGTTAGTCAACACTGATATTTTCAAAANATAAGTAAGGAGATTAAGAAATGTTACTGAAAAAGAAATGTGTTCTGCCTGAGCAGTCAGTTCTCACCCTTGTAGACATCATAATTGGAGATGATATTGTCAAAGAGCGTGTAGAGGTCATTGAGAAACTCGACAACCTCTATGGGCTCGCTGCTGGCGGACATCGAGGTGAAGCCGACAATGT